TGATGTACTCCTTGGTGTTTATTCTCATGTCCTTTCATGTATGTGTGTTCTGCCTTCCACATTAAACTGGGAAATCCTAGGGGCAGAGATTTGTCTTCTTTGTCTTCTGGACCCCAAGTATTCGCAAATCAGGATTGGCACACAGTTATTAGTGTTTATTAACCAATACCAAACGGGGGATACCAACCCATAGTGGGAAGTAGGACCTACTCCTCTACCACCAGTCTGGAGCTATCTGCACTATCCTCAAGGAGACAGGTGTTGTGGTTGGTACTTGGGGGACAGAGTGAAGAGCAGACACAATCCCTGCACCCTGCATTGAGCTCCCAGTGTCCTTGAGAAGCAAAGACAAACATACAAGAAACCATTTGGAAGGAATAGAAATTGCCAAGCTTCGTGATGACCAGAAGTTGAAAGTGAGGAGGAAGTTGGGAGAGATGCACTCAGGCCCTCTGGAGCTCTTCTCCTTGCATTGCAGCCTCCATTTGCCCTGTTTCTGTTTTAGAGATCTGGAACTTTTGGGAGGAGGGGGACCCTTTTGCCTGTAGGACCCTTGACTACCAGGACCAATACTGCTTTCTTTTCTCCTTCCCTCTAGGATGTCAAAAGTACCCTGGAAAAGTAAGTGATTCCTGCAACTCTTTAAGTGAGTTAGATCTTGGCTTAGAGGCTTACAGTACAGTAAGGAGTTGGGGGAATAAGATGGGAAAGTCATGCAGCTTCTGGGTCGGATATGGGAAAGGGTTATGCATCCATGAAGCCAGTTAGAGAGCAAATCATGGGGAATAGTAGCCCTTTGAGCATCAGGACTTCCTTGTTAAGGAAGCTACCAAAATCATGTAGAACCAGGTTCTACCTGTGCCTGGATGTAGAATTGTGTCCAAACAAGATGGAAGAAGGAAAGGGTTGGGAGGGGGAAGGGTAATTACCCATTTGCATGAAATATAACAGATACCTCCAGAAAGTTCTGAGGCTCGTTTTAAGGATTTGTCCAGGGGACCATATGGCTCTCCACAGATTGGCAAAAGACAGCAATACACAAGTGCTTGTCCTCAGGGAGGAGGGAGGAGTGGGAGGATGGAGCTTCCCTGTGACCTGCCCTTTCTTCCCCTGTCTCCCTGCCCCTCCTAGATGTGAAAAGGTGAAGACCATGGAGGTGACTTCAGTATCCATACAGCTTGAAAAGAACTTCAGCAGTTTCCCCCGACAGTACTTTGCCCTAAGGAAAATCCTTAAACAGCTAATTGGTGAGTTGTTCCCAAAAGGAAAAGAGCAGAGGGAGTCAGCAGAGAGCAGCAAGTCTTCCCGTGGGCTCAGTTACCCTGTCTGTCATTTTCCCCGCCCACACCCACCCACACCCAGCCCTCTCCCTGGCTTTCGGTCACTCTGAGTCACAGCACTCGTAGTGAAAAGCCTCGCTGTCATCTAATCTTAGGCCCACACTTTTCTGAACAGGGGCCCAGAAAGGTTAAATAATTTGCCTAAAATTGGTCCACTCTAGAGAGTGAAGGGAATGTCATTCATTTTTACTCAGAGAAAATAGTCATAAACCAGGACGGTTCCAAGAAAACGGGTATCAGGTCACCCTGCCCCTAGACCTGACAATGGTGTCTTCTCTGTATCCTTCTTCACATACGCTTTCCGTTCTTTCTGGCCCTTGAACTGTGCCTGGTGCTTCTCTGCACTGTGAGATGATGATTATGTCGGGGGCTGTGGATGGAGGACCAGGCAGGAGGAGTCTAACCCACCAGCCCTTGCAAAGGCAAGAGCAAGTTAGTCACCTGCTTCTTTAGGGCGGGTGAGACGTGAAGCAGTATTCCCTCCCCTCCCTTAGGTGACACCATGGATGGAGAAAGTTAACCAAACCACAGTGTTCTGGGGGCCTTTAAGGGAACAGGCTCTGTAAGGCAGGCTGGAAGACTGAGGCAGGGGCGTTGAGCTATTCCCGTCCTCATCTAGCTCCCCACTCTGGCTTCTCCCGCCAGCGGATGTGACCCTGGACCCTGAGACTGCTCATCCTAACCTAGTCCTGTCGGAGGATCGTAAGAGCGTCAAGTTTGTGGAGACAAGACTCCGGGACCTACCTGACACACCACGGCGCTTCACCTTCTACCCTTGCGTCCTGGCTACTGAGGGCTTTACCTCAGGCCGACACTACTGGGAGGTGGAGGTGGGCGACAAGACCCACTGGGCAGTGGGTGTGTGCCGGGACTCTGTGAGCCGAAAGGGCGAGCTGACCCCACTGCCTGAGACTGGCTACTGGCGGGTGCGACTGTGGAACGGAGACAAATATGCAGCCACTACCACGCCTTTTACTCCTTTGCACATCAAGGTGAAACCCAAGCGGGTGGGCATATTCCTAGACTATGAGGCCGGCACACTGTCTTTTTACAATGTCACAGACCGCTCCCATATCTACACCTTCACTGATACTTTTACTGAGAAACTATGGCCCCTCTTCTACCCAGGCATCCGGGCTGGAAGGAAGAATGCTGCACCACTTACCATCAGGCCCCCGACAGATTGGGAGTGACAGGGAGGGATGAGGCAGGATCAAGAGCTATGGGCCTTCCTTCCTGTGACCTGCTGGAGCAGCTTCGCGTCTGCCTGTTCCCGTCCTGAACCATCTGGGAGAAGCGCCTGGGTTTCTAGAGTGGTTTATGTGGAAGCGTAGGTAGGACTGGTCTGGGGTGAGAGCACAGCTATGTCTCCTGTCGGGTGGGGAGTAGGTTCCCAGGGACTCTCCCCTGAAGCCCATCAGGTTTTCTGTTGCACAGGATGGGTAGGGAAGGGAGGAGGGGCTTTTCCAGAAGCAAAAAGTCTGGGAGGGTATGACATACTCAAACCAGAGGAGGAAACAGAAGCCCCTGTGCATTTTTCAGGGGCTCTGACGCAGAATAGTTATGTTTCTTGAGGAAGAGCATAGAGGCATGTAAACCTCTAGATTGAAATAAAAATGAATGACAGTTGCTCTCATGGATCTAGGAGTTGAGGACCCACAAGAGCAAAGATTTTTTTGCGGTCAAAGATTGGGCATCAAGAGGTTAGAAAGAAGGTCCAGGAAGGGGCTACAGGAGCAGATCCCTAGGTTCTAATGAAGGAGGGGGTTTCTCTGGTCATCTATTCCCAGCGTAAGGCTGCCATTATGAGTTGGCTTGGCCAGAGGTAGCAACGTGGGGAGGAGAGGGTGAGAAGGAGGAAGCGGAGGGCCCAGGCTCCTGTCTCAGCCTTCAGCAGAGCTGGCTTATTGCCTGCCTCCTTAGAGTCAATCGTCTCTGAGAAGTTGGTCACCTTGTTCTTCAGGGATGAGTTGCCAGAGATCCTGCAAGACAGTCTGCCCTTTTACTGCTTTCCCAAGGGAACTTGGGAAGGCGAGAATCCGGTATTGGCGGAAAGAGAACAATATTTCTATCCAAAGCTCTTGCCTTAAGGAATGTTACTAAATAGTTACTCCCAAGTTGTCAGCTTTCTTACCTGGATCAAGTGTCTAAGCCAGAAAAGGAGAGAGGGAATAGAGTCTTCCTCACCCTGAGGAAAGGGTAGAAGAGGGTGGTGTGTGTAGGGAAGGACCAGATTGGCAGCTTCCTTGTGCCTGCGCGCACCTGGCCTGGAACTAGTGTTCCCGGAGCCAGTCTTTGCTTGTTGGCTGCCATCCCTCACTGTTTGCCATTTCCCCATCAGAGAATGTACGTCATTTAATGTTAGGCCAAAATAATCCATAGGGTACATGTCAAAAGAGGTAAAGCGATGCATGCCAGACCAAATCGACACGACTTGAGCCATCTGCTGTTCAGGTAATGGGGTTCACAGAAGGTTAGTGAGGGCATTTCAGTTCCTCCAACCACCTCAACAGGACTCTGTCCAGATTCTCCTCTTACCTTTGTGCCTTGACTGTGGTTCTTTGTGGCAAGATGCTTTGGTTGGTAAACAATATGGAACAAAGGATCCACTGACGTGATCTCTGTGCTGTGTGGTGATTTGATGGCCGCCACTGCCGATGTGTCAGAATCACTGGGTGTTAAAAATGCATGTTCCTGGGCTCATCCCAAGTGACTGATGAAGGTCTGTGGGCCTGGGCATCTACATTGTAGGCATATTCCTTTCATGTGAGTCTGGGGATACTTGTAAAACACTTGTGAAGAGGTTTCAGCCACTTCATCTGAGCTGGAGTCCTGGTCCCCTACCCAGCCTGATGGGGTTTGAGAGGGGAGAGAGGCCTCACCCTCCTGTAACTTGGGCTGCCCTCTCCCTGTCTCAGGGTTCATCCATGTTCTCCCCCTCCATCTCTCTACTCTGACCTCAGGAATTGGTCATTAATATGAAGCAGAGGTGAAACAGGATGCCAAACAGAACAAATTGGAGGCAGGTCAGAGGGAGGAACTATGGTCCATGACTCCCTGTGTTGGGGGTGGGGGTGGTTTCAGGGCAGGAGATGCTGTCATCTCTCTGTGCTCCAGTACCTAACACTAGGAGTTAGTGTCTGTTTAGAACTGTGTGACAGGACGTGTGCGTGTGTGTGTGTGTGTGTGTGTGTGTGGTTCAGGGGAAGAGAGTTGTGCTGAGGGCCAGAACCCTGTTCCTCCCCTCCACCACTCATGATCCTTTCCAATTTCACTCCCACTGGCACCAGTGGTTTTTTAAATGTATAACCTCTGTGCCTTCTATCTGTACATCTTCCAGGCACTCACCTTTGGCTTCAAAGAGTAGTGCAGAAGGTCTACCTGGCTATAAATTGCACAGAACCATCCCCCCAACGTAGCTGCAGAGAGACCCGTCTTATGTCCTGAAAATGTATAGCAGTTTGAGATTCTCTCCTGTTCCACTAGCCTCTCCAGTCTCTACCGAGTATAGCTAGTAATGGGCTTGAAGATAGAAGGAAGCCAGGACTCACAAAGGGACCGTGACTTAGAATGCAATTCAAACAGATGGATCTCTGAGGCCGCAGGGTGGTGCCTCTCGGGCCTGGAACTACATTTCCCAGGAGGCCTTGCGCTGACGCCGGGGCGGACCTATCTGAGGGGCGGGGCCTAGGGGCCAGCGTGTTCCGGGCGTTCGCGGGGCCCGGATGGCGGGGCAGGTGAAGGACCGCGAGGCCTTCCAGAGGCTTAGCTTCCTGTACCAGGTGAGTCCGAGTAGGGGCGCTCGGGCAGGGCGCCCGGCGCCGCCGACTCCGCGTGACCGCCTCTCCCGTAGGCCGCCCACTGCGTCCTCGCGCAGGACCCCGAGAACCAGGCGCTGGCGAGGTTCTACTGCCACACGGAGAGGACCGTGGCCCGGCGCCTGGTCCTGCGGCGGTGAGGCGCGGGCCGGGCGGGAGGCCGGGCGGGCGGGGAGCGAGGAGCGGGCGCGCGAACCCCTCCCCTCCTTCTTCCCTCCGCCCGCAGGGACCCGTCGGTGAAGAGGACCCTCTGTCGTGGCTGCTCGTCTCTCCTCATCCCAGGCCTGACCTGCACGCAGCGCCAGAGACGTGAGTGCGCCCGTGGCGGCGGGAGGCGGCGCGCGGGGGCGAGCGGCCCTGCCTCGCGGTAGACCGTCTGCGCGCAGGGCCCGCGGGAGCCGGCTTTGTCCGCTCGGAGGTCACTCGCGGGCCGCGAGGGCAGCCTCGCCCGTGCGTGCGGACAGCAGTCCCCGGGGGTTGTGCGGGACGCGCCCTCCTGTACTTGCCTTCCTCGGTGTGCCGGGCGCCCCGCGGGATTCATTGTTCCCGGGGAGTGCAGGACAGCGGTTTTTAACCCTTTTCATCTCATGGCACACACAAACTACTGAAATTCTGCAGCGCACCAAAAAATCTATTTTCGGCTGGCAAAAAGAAGGAATAATTTTGGTTCATTCGCCGCAGACCCGAGGACGCGTTGACTGACGGGAGAGGGAGGGGGAGGGAAGCCGCCTCAGTTGCCTCCCGCGCCCAGACGAGGTGCCCGGGACCCAGGCCGGTGCCCTGACCCGGAAGCGGACCCGCGGCCGTTTGTGCCTGAGCCGCCTGATTTGACAAGGGAAAGAGGTCAGTGCCCTGACGGATCGGGTACTGCATATTTTAAAAATCCTTGCGGCTGTGAGGAAATGCCTTCACTGGAGGAGTACAGTGCTGTTACTTCTGCCAGTGGTGCTGAGAGGCAGAAGGGGATGGGAATTCTCAGCCTGGGTGTTGACTCAGGAGAGTGGCGCACGTGCTGTCAACTACAGGAGCACTGGCTGGTGGCTCAGTGGTTAGAGCGTCAGAAGCCTCTCGGTCCAGTCAAGGGCATGTACCTGGGTTGCAGGTTCCAGCCCCAGTTGGGGTGGGTGCAGGATACAGCCAATAGATGCATCTCTCTCACATCAATGTCCCCCCCTCCACTCTCTAAAAATCAGTGGAAAAAGTATCCTTGGCTGAGGTTTAGCCAAAAAAAAACGCAAGAGTTTAGGAGGCTGGAGTTTAAAGTGCACAAGACACGAGGCTGGAGAAGGAGACAGGGCAGATCTTGTCTTGCAAAGGGGTTTGGGCTTTACCTTAAAGCGTATGGAGGCCCTAGCCCATTCTGCTCAGTGGTTAGACTCTCGGACCTCGGGCTGGAGGGCTGCAGATTCTATCCCAGCCCCCATCAGGACTCGTGTGGGAGGCATCCAATCGAGGTGTCTCTCTTATATCGATGTTTCTCTCTCTGTCTCTCCCCCTCCGTTCCACTCTCTCTAAAAATCAATGGGAAAAAATATCCTCCAGTGAAGACTTAAAAAAAAAAGTACCAAGAAATTGATAGTTTAGCTCTGGGCAGTTTGACAGTGATTGGAGCATTGGCCTGTAGACTGAAGGGTCTCGGGTTCCATTCCCAGTCAAGGGCACATACCTTTGGCTGCGGGTTTGATCACCAGCCTCGTCAGGGCACGTGCTGGGGGCAACTGGTCAATGACTCTCTTTCCTCCTCCTCCTCCCTCCCTCCCATTCCCTCTAAAGATCAATGGAAAAAATATTGTTGGGTGAGGATTTAAAAAAAAAAAGAAATTGATAGTTTATGCAGGGGACTCACACTATCAAATCTTCATTGAAAGTGGAGAGCAGGTGGAATTCCTGCCAGAAAACAATGGAGACAAACCTGGGTGCAAGAGACCTTTTCTTGTAACCCAGGCACTCTCTTCCATTTTCCCACGTTCACCCCAGGCTGCAAGGGACAGCGCTGGACAGTACAGACCTGCCTAACATGCCAGCGCAGCCAACGGTTCCTCAATGATCCTGCACATGTTCTCTGGGGAGATCTGCCTGAGGCCCAGCTAGGGAGCCAGTCAGGTAAGAAGTGGACAAAAATGTGGGATATCCCGCGGGAATAGGGATGGATTGGGAACGGAGAGCTGAATAGGACACAGGTGAGTTCTGGGTCGGTGTGACAGGTGCCACAGTCTTAGAAAACTCTAACTCTGCTCATCGATCCAGATCCAAAACCACCGCAGCCCCTGCCAAGCACAGCCCGCCCCACCCCGACCCACCTTACTGAGGAGAAAGTGCAGCCCCAGAGCTCTCATCACCAGTGATGGAGTCAGCGTCTTCCCGATAAATAAAGTTTAATTCTGTTTCACTTTGGTGAGTCAGTAACGTAAGTATTTCAGCTCTTAATTCCATTTCCTCTGTATCTCTCTGTCACCAGGTAACCTCTCCTTTGTCTTTATCGCCTTCCTACTCCCGCCTTTCAGGGAGGTCCTATTTCCATAGACCACTTGGCCCCACTAAACAGCTCGCATATCCAGGCCCCTAGCTCCAGGGCCCCTTCGCACCTGGTTCTTAATGCAATGCCACGTGTGGAACTTGGGCCCTAGGGTTGCCTGTGAGGGCCTGAGCCTTCTTAGGGCATTCCAGGTTTAGGTAACCTGACTTGTTGACTGATGGGCTGGATAGACTGCTGATGCCACAGATGCTGTTTTTAAATGAGGGGAAAAAGCTGTTGGGGGAGGGACTTCAGACCTTCTCGGCCCACTCCCAGAGATTGGGTCTTTCCCAATCTCTGCATTTTCTTCTTTAACATTCCAATAAGGGAAATTGTACAAACAGAACTAACAAGGTCAAAGGTGATAATCTAAAGGACACTGCAAACATTATACAAGTATGCTCTGTAAGTAAACCCTCAAAATTGTCTTGAGAATTAGTAAACAACAAGAATAGTTTTCTTCAGTACCCTAGAGAGCTTGCCAAGGACAGAATTTCATCCTGACCTCAGTGCTAGGTGCCAGTTAATCAGTCTGCCCTAAAAGTGTACAAACAAAATTTACTCTCTCCACAATGCACTTTTCTTCCCTTTCTCTTATAAAGCCTGTGTCGCACTTACTGCTGCATTAAAATCAACAGCTCCATTAAAACACTTCATGGTGCTCTCCCTCCAGGGAGCATGCCCTGCTGGTCCCTTCCCCCTCTCCTCCCCTCACAGGCAGGTATTCTTGAACCCCTAAGGCAGTGATGGCGAACCTATGACAAGCAAACTCATTTTTTTGGTTGATTTTTCTTTGTTAAATGGCATTTAAATATATAAAATAATTATCAAAAATATAAATCTTTTTTTACTATGGTTGCAAAGATCAAAAAATTTCTATATGTGACACGGCACCAGAGTTAAGTTAGGGTTTTTCAAAATGCTGACACGCCGAGCTCAAAAGGTTCGCCTTCACTGTACTAGGGGCCTCATGAAATGCGATGGGAGCAGTGGACAGCTTGCCCTGGCTAACACCCTTAACCTGTCCCCAAGGCTCCCTTTCCTCTGACTTCCCAGTGAACCAGAGCAGCCCAGCCTACACTCTCCTGTTGCTTCTTTTGTGCCCTTGTTTCTTATCTAAGTAATTTTTGCTGCAGCCAAATTCTTGCTTTCTTTTCTTTAAAAAAACAAAAACAAAACACTCCATCATGTGTGACTTAAAACAACAGTGATTTATGATTTCCCCTGCTTCCGTGGGCTGGGCTGTGAGAGGGCTGGCTGGGCTGGGTGGTTCTTTTCTTTTTTAGTTTTTTGGGGTTGTTGTTTTTTTGTTTGTTTTGGTTTTTTTATTTCACAAAGTGGGTGGTTCTTCTTTTCCAAATAGCACCACCTGGAGTTACTCCACTGCATTTTGCTGGTGGCCGGTACCTGGTCTGGAAGATCCAAGAAGCTTCATTGTATATATGTGGGACCTCATTGCGTCTCCGTGGCCTTGCTGATGTCTGCACAGCATGGCTATCGCAGGGTGCTTAGACTTTTTTCCAAGAAGACAAGCTCCAAGGTGCAAAGTGCTTATCAAGCCTCTGTACTCACCATGCTGGCTGATTAATGTCCCCTTGACCAAAGCAAGTCACATGGCCAAGCCCAGATTCAACACCAAGGCATGAATACTGGGAGGTCCACTGGTTCCCTGGGGACCACAGATGCAGCAGTCTGCCATGTTTTGCCTTTGTCCCTGACTCAGTCTCCACTTAAAATTGTTCACATGGAAATACTGAACTGTGCAAGAATGCTCTGAGTTAGTCTTTCACAGTTGATTTCTGGTGCTAATGCCTACTTGGCCAACTGTAGCAGACATTAGAAACATGTAGCCTAAAGTGCATCCTGTGCAGACCTGGGCCCTTTTCATCTCCAGCTGACCTTCCTTGGCTGCACCCACCAGTCTCATTTCTGAGCTCATTGGCCCTTACACACTAAATCTGATTCTTGGCAAAGTTTATTTTGAGTATGATTATGACTGCACATGCCGACAGTGGAATAGCAGTGGGGGAGCTCTGACTTTTGTTTTCACGACAGCCATTAAGTGATTCCTCTCATGTGCGAGAATCCGGGAATCGGGCCCCAGTCAGTGTGGAACGTGGTTCACTTATGAGTCTGGCTGGTTGGTCTGTTTATGTTTGCATCAATATAGGTTCCTATAACTCGGGTGGGGTCTGGCCCTGCCAAGGCATTAGGGTTGAGTTAATTAAAGGTTTGACCAAATACAGCAGGCTAATTTTTAAGATGATAATTCGTATGGCCCACAAGTGATGTTACAAATATCCAAATGGCCCTTGGCAGAAAAAAAGTTCCCTAACTAGAGGTCAGCCCTCTTCATCCAAAACTCTCCTTTTTTGTGCTTGCTCATTATGACGTGACAGTTGTCAATATATGCAAAAAAAAAAAAAATGGATTTCCTATAACAGGAAATCTCTTATACACAAGTTAGCTTTCTTCAATGTTTCTAAACAGTTTAGTAATTCAAAATTTGAGCCCTTTTGAGACTTTAAGTAAAATTAAACGGGACAAAGAAGAAAACCTACTTTTCTAGAAAATGAGACCTCCCAAATGCCATAGAAATCAAGACTTAATCCCCAAGTCATAGGTAGGTACATTTAGCACTTTTAAAAACTGGTAAAAATGAGGATCATTGTCAAGGGGAGAGCACGAGAGAAAGGATTGAAAAACCATCTGTCTGAATTCAAAAGGAAATTGGAAAATTAGATTTTCAACAAAGGGAATAATTCTAGTATTGTCTACATCACAGTTACTGCAACTGTCAAATGAGAATATATGTGAAGGCATCTTGAAAAGGGTATCATAGGGCATTGTAATAAAGTGTATGTAGGAATCATAATACTTTGGAAGTAGTAAGAATCAGCAAAATATATTAGAAAAGACAGGTCCTGGACATCAAGGAATCTGAGTTACTGTCCCCACAATACATATTTGTAAAAGGAGATGCTTTCACAATAGTTTTACAACTCTGGAAGCTAACAGAAGTTATCTAGTTTTCCCACTAAATGTCAAAAAGCCAGGTTTCTCTCAGATTTTTGATGCACTCATTCAATATTTTCAGAGGGCCTACTCTGGCGGCATTGCTCAGGAATTGGGATACACATGAGTGAACAAAGAGTTGGAGGGAAGATGAGCAAAAAAACAATGTATGATAAGTTGTAAAGGGATGTGTGCACTGGAAAAAAACCGGGAAGGTCAGGCCGCTGCGAGGTGTGGCTTCCAGTTTTAAATAGAGCCATTAGGTGAGCAGCACTGAGAAAGTGACCAGGACGAACAAGGGGCCGCTTCTGTGTCCCTGCAGACAACGCAAGAAGCTTGCTTTGTGCAGCTGGCTCACATGACAAGAGCTTCTGTCTGCCCAGGGGTGTTGTCTGGAAGCGGGAGCCTTGCAGAGTAGGCCAACCATGCCAGGAAATAATGCCCATGGCAAGCGACCCCGGACTGAGGGATGAAAGTTGGTGGATATTCTACATAATCCCTCAGGGTCACTAACAGGGTTGAGCCCTGGTGCTTAGGTGTGCCCTTTTTCAGTTATTTTTGTGGTGTTAATCCTCACCTGAGGATTTTATTTTTAGAGAGAGTGGGGGGAGGGAGGGGCAAAGAGAGAACCATCAATTGGTCGCCTGCCACACACAGCCCGACCCAGGACAGGATCAAACCTGCAACGCAGGTACCTGCTCTTTACCAGCAACCAAACCCGTGACCCTTCAGTGTGCGGGCTGATGGCCTAACCACTGACACACTGGCCAGGGCTGCACATGCCCTTTATACAGTTCCCTCCCCTGTTTCACTCCCCATTCCCTCACTATAATTTCTGGGATAATCTTTCAGGTAAACTACCTGCACCAAATTATTCGTCTCTGAGTTTGCTCTGAAGGAACCCAAAATGAGAGCGACATTGAAAAAAGAAGGAGTGAGGGAATCTACCGTGTGGCTGTCTGGGGAGGACCTGAGCAGAGGAGCAGGGAGGACAGCGGCCCTGAAGCGGGAGCTGGCCCAGGGGCTCCAGGGCCTGAAAGGCCGGTGTGAGGGAAACAGTGAGCAAGGCGTAAAGTAGTCAGTGTGGCCAATCAAGGAAATTGTTCACTGAGAGGCCATTGGAAAGTTTTAGCAAAGAAAGATGGCTTAATAGTTAAAAGGATCACTTTTGCCCTGGCTGGCTTGGTTCCGTGGATAGCGTGTCAGCCGCAGACTGAAGGCTCCCGGGCTCTATTACAATCAAGGGCACATGCTGGGGTTGTGGGCTTGATCTCCAGTGGGGGGAGGGAGGGTGTAGGAGACAGCCAGTCAGTGATTCTCTGATCATTAATGTTTCTGACCTCCCTCTCTGAAATCAATAAAATTTTAAAAAGGGTCACTCTTTTTTCCAATTATAGTTAACATTCAATATTATATTAGCTTCAGGGACAATTAGTGGTCAGACGTTTATATAACTTATGAAGTGACCCAATAAGTCTAATACCCACCTTGCACCATATATAGTTATTACAATATTACTGAGTACATTCCCTGTGCTGTTCTTTACATACCTGTGGCTATTCGGTAACTGCCAGTTTGTACTTTTTATTGATTTTAATATATTTTATTTATTTTTTAGGGAGAGGGATAGAGAGTTGGAAACATCAATTACCTGCCTCCTGCACACCTCCTACTGGGGATGTGCCTGCAACCAAGCCCTTGACTGGAATTGAACCTGGGACCCTTCAGTCTCCAGCCCGACACTCTATCCACCAAGCCAAACCGGTCAGGGCCAGTTTGTACTTTTTAATCCCTTCCCCTTTTTCCCATCCTCCAACCCTCCTCCCATCTGGCAACCATCAGTTTGTTCTATCTGTGAGTCTTTCTGTTTTCTTTGTTCGTTTACAGTCAAACCTCGGTTCTCCAAGGTCTCCCATCTCAAACAGTTCGGGTTCGACCAAGTTGTTCACGGAAAAATGTCTCAGGTGTTGAACAAAACTTCAGTTCTCGACTCAACAGCCCTTTCATGCTGATCCCTGTATGATCAGTCATGCATGTCTCAGGTGACAAAGGAGAGAATGAGCAAGTATGAGTCAGTTTACCGCTAAACTTCATGCTGTTAACATCTCGGGAAATTGTGCTCTGAATGTTTTTGTGTTTTGCCTTTTTGCTGCTTATTATTAAATACGTAAGTAAGTTATCATGGGTCCTAAGAAAGTTAGTGATACCAAAGTGAAAAGGAAAGTTGTGAGAACAACGATAGAGCTTAAAAAAGAAATAATTGCAAATTATGATAAAGGTGTTCGTGTGTCTGATCTGGCTACCAAGTATGGCATGGCAAAATCGACAATTAGCACAATTTTAAAACATAAAGAGGCCATCAAGAAAGCTGATGTTGCTAAGGGTGTAACAGTGCTCACAAAACAACGATCACAGGCCATTGAAGAGGTAGAAAAATTGTTGTTGATTTGGATAAATGAAAAACAGTTAGCCGGTGATAGCATTTCAGAGGCAATGATATGTGAAAAAGCAAAGATGCTGCATACTGACCTCCTGAAAGACAGCCCTGAAATGAGTGCTCAAAATGGTTCGTTTAAGGCTAGTAGGGGGTGGTTCGATAAATTTAAGAAAAGAAGTGGTATTCATGTAGTGAGGCATGGGGAGTCTCACAGTACTAACAAAGTAGCTGCTGATAATTTTGTGACAGAATTTCAAGAATTCATCGAGGCTGAGGGATTTGTTCCCCAACAAGTGTTCAATTGTGATGAGACAGGGCTCTTCTGGAAGAAAATGCCAAAGAGGACCTACATCACACAGGAGGAGAAGTCATTGCCAGGACACAAGCCAGTGAAGGACCGGCTGACGTTACTATTGTGTGGCAATGCGAGTGGGGACTTCAAACTGAAGCCTCTTCTCGTCTACCATTCTGAAAACGTACGAGTTTTCGGGAAAAATAATGTCATGAAAAACAAGTGGAATGTGATGTGGAGGGCTAACAGCAAAGCTTGGGTGACCAGGCAGTTTTTTATTGAGTGGATTCATGAAGTGTTTGCCCCAAGTGTGAAGAAATACCTCTGGGAAAAACAGTTGCCACTCAGAGCACTTCTTGTCATGGACAAGGCTCCTGCCCACCCTCCAGCCTTGGAGGCCGAGCTGATGGAGGAGCACAGCTTCATCACTGTGAGGTTCTTGCCACCTAACATAACTCCGCTCATCCAGCCCATGGACCAGCAGGTCATTTCTAACTTTAAGAAACTCTACACCAAAGCACTGTTCCAGAGGTGTTTTGAGGTGACCTCTGAAACTAATTTAACCCTCCGGGAGTTCTGGAAGGAACATTTTAATATCCTCACTTGCTTGAGGCTCATAGATGAAGCATGGGGGGGAGTGTGTTCCAGGACCCTGCAGTCGGCCTGGAAGAAACTGTGGCCCGAGTCTGTTGCTGACAGAGCCTGTGAGGGCTGTGAGGACAAACCTGTGTCTGTTGTGGAGGACATTGTGTCTCTGGGCAAGTCCATGGGCTTGGAGGTGGATGATGATGATGTGGAGGAGTTGGTGGAGGACCACAACACTGAGCTGACCACTGAGGAGCTCCAAGACCTTCAGAGGGAGCAGCAACAGCCGGCAGCTGAGGAGCGCTCTTCAGAGGAGGGAAGGGAGGATATTCCTACTTCACTTATCAAGGGAATGCTTGGGAAATGGGGAGAAATGCAAAGTTTCATTGAGAAATATCACCCTGACAAAGAAGTAGCACACCGAGCAATAAACTTGTTCAATGACAATGCAGTGCTTCACTTCAGGCAAATGTTAAAACGCAGGCAAAAACAATCATTGGGTAGGTTTTTAGTGAGACAGAGGCCCAGTGAACCTGAAGCAAGTTCTAGTGGAGCAAAGAGACGAAAGAGAAAGAACCCCAGAAGAATAGCTCCCTGATGTGTTTACGGAAGGGAACTCCTTCCAAACAAGAACACCCTCCTCCATATTCAGTCATCAGTAGCTCTCAGCATTCAAGGTAAGTTCTAGTGTGTACCTACATTTTCATTTTTTACTCTACACTTCCTTTCCTTTTTGTTTTTTAAAGTATTTGTTTACAAATAGTACATTAGACGTGTACCATATGTAAGAAAGTTTAAGACAGAATCATTTGGGATTCTGGAACAGATTCAATTTACAGTTAAACTTCAGTTCTTGAACATCTCTCATCTCAAACAATTCAATTCTCAACCAAGTTGTTCATGGAAATAATGTCTCAGTTGTTGAACAAAATCTTCAGTTCTCAACCTGACAGCCCTTTCCTGCTGATACATCAACATGACAAAAAGCTCTCTCAGGCCATAAACAAAGGAGATAATGTAAATCAGTTGTCTACATCTCAAGAAATCATGCTGTGGATATTCTTGTGGGTTTTTTGCTTTTGTTGCTGGCAAAATGGATAATTAGCACAATTTTAAAACAAAGAGGCCATCAAGAGTGCTAATGTTGCTAAAGGTGTGAAAAAATGGTCACAGGCAATTGAAGAGGTAGAAAGACTGTTGTTGATTGGGATAAACCAAATGCAGTTGGCAGGCAGCATTTCAGAGGCAACAATATGTGAACAATTGAAGATGCCATATACTGAATTCCTGAAAAACAAACACCCCTGAGTGCTGAAAGTGATTCATTTAAGGATAGTAGGGGGTGGTTCCATAAATGTAAGGAGTGTTTGTTTATAGACTAAACAATACGGAATCGTTGGGGGGGGGGGGGGGGGGGGGGTCTGGAAAGAATTAATTTACATAATTTATAAGGGGGGGGGTGATTCAGTTTTTCAGACAAATCACTTCTCAAACAGCCTTCCAGAACAAATTAAGTTTGAGAACCAAAGTTGCACTGTATTTTGTTTTTTAGATTCCACATCTAAGTGAAATCATATGACATTTGTCTTTCTCTGTCTGGCTTATTTCACTCAGCAAAATATCCCCTCCTTCCACGTTGCTGCAAATTGTAAGATTTCAGTTTTTATGGCCATGTAACATTTCTTTGTATATATGTACACACCTTTATCCAATTGTTCATTGATAGGCATTTGGGCTGCTTCCATAGCCTGGCTATTGTAAATAGGGCTGCAGTGAACATAGGGGTGCATACATCTTTTCAAGTTAGTGTTTTGAATTTCTTCAGATGAATGCCCAGAAGTGAAATTGCTGGGTCATAGGTAGCTTTATTTTTAATTTTTTTGAGGAATCTCCATATTGTTTTTCATAGTGACTGCAGCAGTTTGCATTCCCACCAACAGTGCATGAGGGTTCACTTTCTCCACATCCTTGCCAGCACTTTGTTGATTTATTGATGCTAACCATTTTGACAGGTGTGAAATGGTATCTCATTGTGGTTTTAATTTACATTTCCCTGATGATTAGTGATGTTAACCATCTTTTCATATGTCTGTTGGCCATCTGTACCTCCTCTTTGGACAATTGTCTATTCAGGTTCTCTGCCTATTTTTTAATTGAATTGTTTGCTTTTTTGGTGTTAAATTGAAAGAGTTTTTTATAAATTTTGCATATTAACCCCTTAGTGGATTATCATTGACTAATATCTTCTGGTTGGTAGGTTGTCTTTTTGTTTTGTTGATGGTATCCTTTGCTGTGCAAAAAACTTTTAGTTGACATGGCACATTTATTTTTTTCTTCTATTTCTCTTGACCAAGGAGATTTGATTTTTTTTTTTATATGAGTAAGAGCGATGTCAGAGAGTCTACTCATGTTTTCTTCTAGGAGGTTTATGGTTTCAGTCTCTTATTTAAGTCTTTAATTCATTTGTATTTTATTTTTGTATATGGTATAAGAAGATGGTCTAATTTCATTTTTTTGCATGTATCTGTCCCCAACACCATTTATTGAATAAACTGTCTTTACCCCACTGTGTAGTCTTGCTTTCCTTGTCATAGATTAATTGACCATATAAGCATGGGCTCTCTATACTGTTCCATTAATTTATGTGTGCTTTTATGCCAGTACCATGCTTTTTTTTTATTACTATGGCCTTGTAGTATAGTTTGATGTCAGGTAGTGTGATATCTCCAACTTTGCTTTTCTTTGGCAAGACTGCTGTGGCTCTTTGAGGGTTTTTGTGGTGGTATAATTTTTTTACTTTTCAATTACATTAACCTTTTTCACTCATCCCCCTCAATCCCCTCCCATCTGGAAGCCACCAAAAGGTTCTCTGTATCTATGAATCCGTTTCTGTTATGCTTGTTCATTTATTTTGTTTTTTAGGTTCAACTGTTGATAGATACATACTTATTGCCATTTTATTATTCATATTTTTGCTTATTTTCCTTCTTAAAGAAGACTCTCTAACATTTCATGTAATATTGGTTTGGTGGTAGTAAACTCCTTTAGCTTTTTTTTTTTTTTTTTTTGGTCTGAGAAGTTCTTTATATGTGCTTCAATTCTAAATTATACCTTTCCTGGGTAGAATAATCTTGATTGTAGGTCCTTGGTTTTCATCACTTTGAATATTTTTTTGCCAGTCCCTTCTGGCCTTCAAAGTTTCTGTTGAGAAATCAGTTGACAGTCTATGGGAGCTCCCTTGTAAGTAACTAACTGTTTTTCTTTTGCTGCTTTTAAGATTCTCTTTTTGTCTTTAACCTTTTGCATTTTATTATAATGTGTCTTGGTGTAGACCTCTTTGGATTTATCTTGTTTGAGACTCTCTGTGATGGGGAAAATAAGACATTTGCGGGGGTGGAGGGGGCTAGTAATCTGAATTTGTGCCAGTAACCTAATGTACATTCTTGGTAGCTTATAATTAAGTCACTGCCCCTTTCCCAAAATCTGGTCTTGCAAGAGCTGAGGCCATAAACTGAACAATACACAACCCCTGGAGGGGGATATCAATGCTGATGCCAGGCCAGGCCCAGGTGTGGTTTCACTGCCCCCATTCCAGCACATGGGATTTTTGCAAAGCCCACGAAAGGTCCGGAAGTCCCATTCTATATCTGGGGGACAAAGACACCAAAAGGAGATAAAAAAGGGGCTTCCACCATATTGGTTTGCTCAGATTTTGGAGGTGACTCCACTGAGACCGTCGGCGTAATAAAGCTGTGTAACTCCATTTCTATAAGCGTCGCTTGGGTTTCTTCTGTCTTCTACAACATCTGCTTTCTGGACTTGTATGTCTGTTTCCTTCACCAGGTTAGGGAAGTTTTCTGTCATTATTTCCACATGGATTTTCAATTCCTCACTCTCCAATTCTTCTGGTACCCCAGTGATGCAAATGTTGTTATGCTTGAAGTTATCCCAGAGGCTCTTTATTCTATCCTTATTTTTTGGATTCTTTTTTGCTGTTCTGATTGGTTGTTTTCTGCTTCCTTATCTTCCCAGTCTCTTACTTGATCCTTTGCTTCATCTACTTTACTGTTGATTCCCTGCAATGTATTCTTCATTTTAGCTCATGTATTCTTCATTTCTTTTTTTAAAGTTAAACAATTTGGGTTTATTATTTAATGTAGTGAGGTAAAACACATGACATGGGGAGCTGTGGGGTATCACAGTAGAGATTGTTAGAAAATACATATTATAGGATTTAGACTTTGGTTGAGTGATTTAAAAATGGGTCTGTGGAAGCAGACTGTATTCATTCCCTAGGCCTTTTGTAACAAGGTACTATAAACTGGTTGACTAAAACACAAGAGAACTTATTCTTTCACATTTCTGGAGCTGGAAGTTAAAAATCAAGGTGTCAGCCCGGCCATGCTCCTTCTGAAGGCTCTATGGAAAAAATCCCTCCTGTTTCTTCCTGGGGGTAAAGAAATCCCTCCTTTCTTTCTTCTTCTGGGGGTAGCCAGAAATCCTTTGAATTCTTGACTTGCAGGTGCATCATTCTAATCTGTGCCTCCATCTTCACGCAGACTTCTTCTATTCTTCATTCCTGACTGGTTCTCCTTTATGGTTTCCATGCCCTTTTTATGCAGTTGAAGTTCTCACCAAGTTTACCTACTCTTCCCCTAAGTTCATTGAACATCCTTATAACCAGTGTCTTAAACTCTGCATCTTGTGAATTGGTTGTCTCCATTTTGTTTAGCTCTTTTTCTGAAGTTTCAGGGAATCACCAGGGCAGGACTAATCATGTTAGCCCGGTTGAATGGCCCTGTTAGCTCACCTGACAGGTCTGTGGGAGGAGGGCTCAGAAAAGGAACAATGGCCTCTGCCAGCACTTCTGTCTGGAAGGAAGCTGCCCCTCTAGCTCTCGCCCTGATGCCAAACACTTCAGTTCCTCTCCCTATGTCCCTGATTGAACCGCATCCAGCACAGCCAATGGTGAACCTGAGGAGGGGAAGTGAAGGATTAAAGAAAACAGACAAGAGAATACAGTTGGGTCCAGGTGATCACTGCACCTGGATGAGGACACAGTGACTGTGCCACACCAGCACGGCCAAGGGTAAACCTGAGGGAGGGCGGTGGAGGATTTAAAAAAGATAGACAAAGGGAATATAGCTGGGGCTCAGCAGATCTTCCATGCCTGGATGAGGACACAGAAAGACCCCGCCTGTAAGCTGAAGCTTTATTTTATAGTCAGAGACAAACAAGGTTGTGGTCAACATAGTTACAATGTTCTTGTGAGTTTCACTTGTTTTGGCAGCACTTGCTGCAACTCCCACAGCCCATTAGCTACCTAGGAAGGATCTAGGGAGCGTCATAAGGTCAAGCTTAATTATGCTAAGAGGGCTGTGCCCTCCAAGCTGGGACTTGTTTGTGGCTCTGCCACAGGTCAATCCGAAGCTTAACCCTATAGCGACTCCCTACAGGTGACCCACCTGTAAGCTGAATCTTTATTTTATAGTTAGATCACACAGAGCAAAACAAGGGAATGGTCAAGATATTTACAATGTTCTTGCAAGTTTCAAATCTGCTTCTTTCCTGTTATTGTAATTCTCTGAACTCTGTAAAGCTTTGTTTTGGCAGCACTTGCTGTACTTCCCACAGCCCACATCCCTTAGCTACCTAGGACTACAAGGTTAGACTATAAGGTCAAGCTTACATACAACCATAGGCTTTGGCTATAATTGTGTTGGGAGGGCTTTGCCCTTCAAGCTGGGACTTGTATGTGGCTTTGCCACAAGAGTACCATGCCCTCTCATCAGTCCGAGGCTTGATCCTGTCCAAATGCTGTAGCTCTCTCTACACTTGATGACTTTCAAGCTGCTGCCCTAGTGCTGAAGCTCAGAGCTAAGTGAGTTTGAGTAAGTCTGTGCATGGGCTCTTTAAGAGGAACACCTGGAACTCCAGCAGCCTTCCATCTCACTCATCCATAATCCCTGCTGGTTTTTACAGCCAGAAGTTATGGGGACTTCTCCTTCTGGCATTGGAACCCTGTGCTGGGGGGGCTGGTGTGAGGCTGAGATCCCTCGGGGGGACCTCCACAGCCAAGCTATCCCTCCTGGTTTTTATCTGCCACATGTGGGTGTGGGACCATCCTGTTCCACATCTTTGCCTCTCCTCCAGTCTTGATGTGGCTTCTTTATATCCTTAGTTGTAGGACTTCTGTTCAGCCAGAATTCAGGTGGTTCTGAATGTTGGTTGTTCTATAGTTTTGTTGTAATTTTGATGTTATTGTGGAAGGATGTGAGTGCTGCATTTACTTAAGCCACCATTTTCGCCATTGGTATTTTGATAGGAATTTCATTGAATTTGTAGATTGCTTTGGGTAGTATGGAAACTTTAACTGTATTAATTCTTCCTACCCATGAGTACAGTATATCCTTCCATTTTTTGTATCTTCTTACATTTCTTTCTTCAGTGTCTTATAATTTTCATAGTACAGGTCTTTTATTTCCTTGGTTAAATTAATTCCTAGATATTTTATTTGATACAATTGTAAATGGGATTGTTTTCTTAGTTTTCCTTTCTTATAGTTTACTATCAGTATATAAAAATGCATTTGATTCCTGAATATTAATTTTGCATCCTGCTACCTTTCTCAATTCATTTATTAGTTCTAATAGCTTTTGGTGGAATCTTTAGGGTTCTCTCTCCATACATGTATATTACTATGTCATCTGCAAATAATTACAATTTTGTTTCTTCCTCTCAAATTTGGATTATTATTTCTTTTCTTGTCTGATTGCTATGGCTAGGACTTCCAGTACTATGTTGGATATAAGGGGTCAAAGTAGACATCCTTGTCTTTTTCCTGATCTTAAGGAAAACACTTTTAGCTCTTCCCCATTTTGTATGATGTTAACTGTGAGTTTGTCATATATGGCCTTTATGTTAAGGTATATTCCCTGTATTCCCACTTTGCTGAGAGTTTTATCATAAATGAATGCTAGATTTTATCAAATCGGTTCTTTTAACAGTAAACTAGGTGAGCAAGATTGGGAAAAGGGAAAATAGGAGGCTGTGAGAGATGATAGTGGCTTGGACCAGGATGTTAGCAGTGAAATGAAGAGAAATGTTCAGATTTTAATTGTAGTTTGAAATTGGGACCCATAAATTTCCTGAGACTAGCAGTGGGATATGAGGGGGATAAACAATTACACAACTAAAGTTTAAATTTCTTAATATGTACTGTATAATATAATAGTCAAAATAAGATATCGGTCTGTACTTTAAAAATATCTTTTGAAAGGGATACTTTCTGAGTTCCTGTTTGATCAGAATGTAGAGAGCATCCAGTGTATCTCCCATCCTGATGTGGGAGAAAGAGATGTGCATTAGTTTCCTAAATAACAAAATACCACAAAATGGGTGGCTCAAGACAATAGGAATGGCCATACCAGCGTGGCTCAGTAGTTGATCATCAACCTATGAACCAGGAGGTCACAGTTCAGTTCCCAGTCAGGGCACATGCTGGGGTTTCAGGCTTGATTCCCAGTGTGGGGCATGCAGAAGGCAGCCAATCAATGATTCTCCCCTCCCTTCCTCTCTGAAATCAATAAAAAAATATATTTTTTAAATCCAGAAATGTAGGGGGGAGGGGTCAATTGGGGGAAAAGGAGACATATGTAAAACTTTAGACAATAAAAAAAAACCCACAAATGTTTTCTCTCACAGTTCTCGAGGCTAGAAATCAAGCCATGAGCAGAGCCATTCTTCCTGTGAAAACTTTAGGGGAGGACCAGTCCTTGCCTCTTTCCAGCATCTGATGGTTACCACCAATCCTTGGCAATCCTTAGTTTGTCAACACATCACTCCAGTGTCTGCCACCATCATCAGATGGCATTTTCCCTGTGTGTCTCTGTCTTTGTCCAAATTTATCTCTTAAGGACACCAGTCTTTGGCATATAGCCCACCCTAATCCAGTATGACCTCATCTTAACTTGATTACAGCTGCAAAATACCTATTTCCAAATAAGATCATATTCACAGTTTCTGGAAAAAACTTTCAGACAAAAGTTTTGAGGGTTGGGTTTTGAATTTAATCCAGTCATTCCCAGGGCTTATGCAGAATATACTGTAAAGTTATTTAGAATGGAGAGATATCCCGTAATACCTCTAACTCTCTATGAACCTTTCTGTAATGTTAATGCTATAAGGGTATATTCTTTCTTTATAATGATAATTAAAGAAAAGTTACATGATCTACCAAGTTCACTGCAAAGCCAGGACTAGAGGCCAAGCTTTCTTATTCTAAGGAATATTTTTTAAAATATATTTTTATTGATTTCAGAGAGGAACGGAGAGATAGAAACATCAATGATGAGAGAATCATTGTTCGGCTGCCTCCTGCAAGCCCACTACTGGGGATCAAGCCCACAACCTGGGCATGTACTCTGACCAGGAATCAAACTGCAACCTCCTGTTTCAGAGGTAGACACTCAACCACTGAGCCACACCGACTGGGCACTAAGAAATATTTTCATGGTCACTGTGGCTGAAACGAAGGTGAGACCCTCCTGGCTAAGTCTAAAACTAATAAATAAAGCAACCTAGTTTTATAAATTCCTTCACATTAACCAGGATATTTTATCTATTAATTGTTCTACTGAGTGACCCTATTCCCAGGAAGGTGGAGACCAGGCAGATTAGGCTCAGGCTTCAGTTTATATCACAAATTAATAAACTGAATTTGAGGATACTGTTCTGGCTTACTAGAAAATTAAAAATTAATCATCTATTTGTTGCTAGAACTGCCATAACAAAATACCATGAACCGGGTGGCTTAAACAACAGAAAGTTATTGTGTCACAGTTCTGGAGGCTAGAAGTCCATAATCAAGGTGTCAGTGGGGTGGGTTCTTTCTGAAGGCCATGAATAAAGGGTCTGTCCCAGGTCACTCTCCTTGGCTCATAGGTGACCATGTTATCCCTAAATCTTCACATCATCATCCCTCTGTATCTATGTGTGTTCAAATTTCTCCTTTTTATAAACACGCCAGTCCTTTTAGGTTAGGGCTCACCCTAATGAGCTCATTTTAACTTGCTTACCTTTATAAAGAACCCATCTCCAAAAGAGTTCACATTCTGAGGTATTGAGGGTTAGTGCTTTGATGTGGATTTGGGTTGGGGGTGGGAAGGACACAATTGAACTGTAACAAGCATGGGAGGATTTAGAGCCATCTTAGTCGTTCTTAGGGACACAGAGGTTGACTCCAGGTTCACCCTACCAGTGGGCTGCCGCCTCAGTTGTCTGCCTGGGTCCCGAGCTGAGTGTCCAGGGTGAAGGAGGTTTTTCTAAGACAGTTCTCATCGGGCCATAAGGGACAGGCTTCTGCTTGCAGACTACCCCATAGTGTCTGGCCTGGATGAGGGCTCTGCATCTCAGCCACTCAGCAGAGCAGCCCCACCTTGCTCTTCAGTGAGTCAGCATAGCAGCTGTTCTGATGTTTCCTCCAGTCCTAGCATGGCACCAAGCTAGGCCAGAACGGACTCTGGTTCTGGTGTGATAAGAGGCTATAATAATGGCTTCAGTTTAGGATTGCTTTTGCTTTGTCTTTTGAAACAGCAAATAAACCTTGCAAAGGCTATACCTGAGATAAAGAAGGGAGCCCCAGCCTCAGTGGTAAGACGGCCACAAGGTCAGAGGGACTCAGACTGTGGGCAACCTCACTGCCTGTACTAAGATTAAAGGTGTCATCACCCAAAAACAACTCAGACCCATACAAGGGCATCATCTGTCACCCTGCCAGTCGGGCCCCCTTAGTCCACTGCGCAAGCTCCATGCCTTAATTTTGTTAAAGACTCCTCTACCCCAGGCAATGATGCCTGGAATTTCTCTCTTTATAGGGCATTTGGGGGAGTGCTAGCCAGTGGTCTACCTCAGACAAGTCCACTCCATGGCTTTCCCCAGGGATATAAACAACTCTCTGTCATTCATAATAACAGGGCAATCAATGTGCATTCGCTTACTGGACGGCCATTTTCCTAACACAGTGTCTTTAAACACCACAGCAAGCCCTACCACTGCTGCTCATGGGGCACCAGTAACTCATCTTGGCTGGTCTGTTACAGGAATACATTTAATTCTGAGAGAGTCTTGAAGATGTGATTGAACTTTCCAGAGCCTGATGACCCTCAGATACCTGATGCCTTGCAGGGCTGAAAGCTCAGACAGCAGCCAGTGACCCCATCAAGGTTCAGGCATATGCTTTGTAAAGACCTGCATTTCTTTTATTTTTACAGTTTTGCCAATTTTATTAAACCAATAAAATTCCTACTAATAAAAATGAAATAAATTTTTGCAAGTAAAATGTTTAACAAAACCTATTCTGTACCTATAAATTTTCAAAATGTCATAAAAAGTGCAGCTATGAATTGTTAACATGTACACAGTTCCTTTATTTCAAATGTGTTTGTCTTGACTCACTAACAGTTCCTTCTGCATCTGTTCAAATAACATTACCCACCCCTCCATAAAAAAAGGCATTAAAGCACTAGAATATTACACATAAACTGATCCATTCCAGTCAGCTTTAGTCAGAGTTGTAAAATCAGCAGCATAAGAAAAATAAAACCTAGTTGTACATACAAAAAGCTTCCATGAGTTCTATAATCTCCTTAACTACTGACTCATGTGGAGGCCATAACAGTGGAGAAGGCTCATATGGGTAACTACCTCAGACTACAGCTACAGCAGAGTCTGGTTCGCCAGAACAAGTTTAAAGTGGCTGTTTATCAAGTTTGCTATTTTTGGAATTGAAACTATAAATATAAGTGCCATTTGACAATGCAAATTGTGTAAATCCTAAACTGCATCAATGATCTATTTGATAAAAGCTTATTCTAATGGAAAACCCTATATAGTAAGAGAGTGATATATATATATATTATATATATATAGCAGTCTTAAGATCATCTGCCTCACATTAGTGCAAAGTCACGTGCTTCGTAAAAAAACACACCACACATTACAGTAACAAAGCAAAGGACTACAAAGGCAAAACATCACAGCTTCTGATTACATTGAATAAAAAGGACCAAGGAACACAAAAGATAATTCTGTATTAATACTGATGAATTAAAGAACTATAATAGACATTTCACAGCATGCTATATATATTGCTCAGCACTTAAGGATAAAATGAAGTCTAAATTTGAAAGTCAAGAAGTTGGCAATCTGATCTCATGTGCAATCCTGCTACAAAGTCTTAATATATACATTCATATAGCTACCCTGCAAAATCAGGACTTAAAAATTAAGATTTCAAGTTCAAATCCTATTTCATAAGCTAAAGGATGCATCCAGTTCTTTAATGACCAGAGGACGTATTTCCAGGTTGGAAGGAGCTAATCAAGTAGCAAGGCCATGTTCCACGTCGACCTGACAGGGTCCTTTCTGACCTTGCTCAGACTGTGCCTGTGATGTCACTCTTCTAGTAGCACAAAGATGCAACACTGGCTGTGGTTGCTTTTTCTGTCTGTCCTATCTTAGGTTGGAAAGAGTAAATGTGAAGGGAAAGAGGAAGGGAAAATTGTATTTTCTTTCCAGGAAGATATGTGAATGCAAAGGAAATATCTGCGTTAGAGTTCCTATAACTTTCCTTGAGGCACAAGGGTACCATTTACCTCTTACATTTTTTTTTTAATATTTTTTAATTGATTTCAGGGAGGAAGGAATAGAGAGAGATAGAAACATCAATGATGAGAGAGCATCATTGATCGGCTGCCTCCTGCATGCCCCTTACTGGGGATTGAACCCGCAACCCAGGCATGTGCCTTTGGCCAGAATCAAACCCAGGATCCTTCAGTCAGCAGGCCGATGCTCTATCCACTGAGCCAAACTGGCCAGGGCACATTTTATTTTAGAGAAGCAGCAAAATTCAGACAGTAGAAAACAACCTCCACGTTACAAAGGAAGGCACTTGCTATCCAGTTGATGTGTTTCCTTTAGCCTACATTTTGATTCTTCGTTACAAGATTTAGAAGCCAGTTGGAAATTTGTGCAGACTGATTAAGAAAGATGTACAATCCATTTCATTCAGTGTCATGATGCATACATCTAGTTAGCCAGGGCTCGTACATTTGCTTCTAAGAGGTTAAATTGAGGGGTAGAAGAAAAGAGACTGTTTTTGCAAATTTATATACCAAAAATCATATTTGTTACATTTAAACTTACTAATGTTTGGTACTGTCCTATGAGCTATAAAATGGGGTGTTTGTTCTAAATGCTATTTTATAGTATGCATTTCATTATTCCAAAATTTCCACAAGCACTGCAAAGAATCAGATATTCTTCCTTCCCCCACCTCTTATCTCCTTTTTCAATTCTGTACTTCATGGCGGTGCAGCCATGATGAATGTAAAGCTAGAACAAATACTTCATGACGTGTGATTTAATAAAAACCATTGCTTCAGTCTCCATTATTGTCTCGTTCCTTAGCGAGGCATTGATTCATTCCTGGGCCCTTAAAGGCATTTACTAGACTCTGCTGTCAGGTTGGGTTGCTCATGAATGGGAGTGGAAAGCATCCAGATGCCACCACTGATCATAATAATCGATACTGTCAAATAGGTGGTTCGTTCGTCCCCAGGTCAGACATCCACCTCTAGACAAACCCGCCCCATGTTAGAACCCTGACAAGTTTTCCTCTGGTGACACCGAGTACACCCTGGCGGGAGAGGAAGAACTGCTGCACCTTGCTCTGCATTTCCTGCTCCTCACAGATACTGTCTGGATGTACCTAAGTGCAGCCAGGAAGTACAGACAACAAAGTCGATACATTCCCTCTCCATCCCATGGGACGTTTCCCCCCAGGAGAACAGGGTAAGCCTGGGGGTGGCCTGGGGGTGAGAAGCTTAGTCTGACCCAGGAAAGCTTCACCAAACTCTCACGCAGCTAATTTTGTGGTATTTTAAACGTTATAATCCAGTGGGCGCCTGTGATCCAATAGGACCATGTAACCATCGTTTATCATACATCCTTCTATTAGACGTGTCTCAAGTCCCAGGTGCCACCACATTAATCACCTGAAACCGCCCGTTTGTATGCCAGAAACCCCCTGTTACACTGAAGGGTTATGGATCTGTCTGGACTCCTGGGGAACTTTCACTTCACATTCCAATAACTTGGACTAATACCAGTACTTACTACCTAATACAGACCCAAGTTAGAATGGCAATTTAATCACTTTAAAATCCTGTTAAATGCTAAATTATGCATGGTAGAAATAGTTCGATTTCTGTATCATCTTTCCTAGATAATAAAAGGGTAATATTCAAGTTGTCCCCTCGACTGGGAGTTCAGGGGACAGGGATGGCCCACCAACGGCCCTCTGTTCCTCCCCCACCGCCAGCCCCAGCTGGCCTGGCTGATTGGCTCCAGGGCGGGCCAGCTGGACCCCACCCATGCATGAATTCGTGCACCGGGCCTCTAGTGTATAAATATAAAGATTCCTACTTTGTTAGAAGGCAAAAATCTTCTATGATTTATTTAAACTATGGAAGTAGTATTACTGAGCAACAGAGCCATGAAAAGGCTGGATCATCTGAACTTATAGGCTCTTTGGGGATGAGGTGGACAAGAGCAAGACATTTTGGCAACTGAGAAAGGTAGAAGAGTCTGGGACAGATGGGGTTGCACTTGGTGCTGCATAACATCTGGTCGGGCATCTGGGGCAAGGATTAGCCAAAATATAGCGGGATGGTACGGTGATTTAGAGGAAGTTGGGACAAAGTCAGATTCTTTTTTTTTTAAATTAAATCTTTATTGTTCAGATTATTACAGTTGTTCCTATTTTTTTCCCCCCATAGCTCCCCTCCACCCGGTTACCACCCCACCCTCTGCCCTTACCCCCCTCACTGTCCTAATCCATTGGTATATGATTTTTGTCCAGTCTCTTCCCGCACCCCCCACAGCCCTTCTCCCCCCCCCCCCCCGAGAATAGTCAGTCCACTCCCTTTCTATGCCCCTTATTCTATTATATTCACCAGTTTATTCTGTTCATCAGATTATTTATTCACTTGATTTTTAGATTCACTTGTTGATAGATGTGTATTTGTTGTTCATAATTTGTATCTTTACCTTTTTCTTCTTCTTCTTCTTCCTCTTAAAGGATACCTTTCAGCATTTCATATAATACTGGTTTGGTGGTGATGAACTCCTTTAGCTTTTTCTTATCTGTGAAGCTCTTTCTCTGACCTTCCGTTCTGAATGATAGCTTTGCTGGATAAAGTAATCTTGGTTGTAGGTTCTTGGTATTCATCACTTTGAATATTTCTTGCCACTCCCTTCTGGCCTGCAAAGTTTCTGTTGAGAAATCAGCTGACAGTTATATGGGTAATCCCTTATAGGTAACTGAGTTTCTTTCTCTTGCTGCTTTTAAGATTCTCTCTTTGTCTTTTGCTCTTGGCATTTTAATTATGATGTGTCTTGGTGTGGTCCTCTTTGGATTCCTTTGGTTTGAGGTTCTCTGCGCTTCCTGGACTTGTAAGTCTATTTCTTTCACCAGGAAGGGGAAGTTTTCTGTCATTATTTCTTCAAATAAGTTTTCAATATCTTGCTCTCTCTCTTCTTCTGGCACCCTCATAATTCGGATGTTGGTACGTTTGAAGTTGTCCCAGAGGCTCCTTACACTGTCTTCATATTTTTGGATTCTTTTTTCTTTTTCTTTTTCCGGTTGGGTGTTTTTTGCTTCTTCATATTTCAAATCTTTTACTTGATTCTTGTGATCCTCTAGTCTGCTGTTGGAACTCTGTATAATATTCTTTATTTCAGTCAGTGTATGCTTAATTTCTAGTTGGTCCTTTTTTATATCCTCGAGGGTCTCACTAGATTTCTTAAGGGTCTCACTAAATTTATCGGCGGTTTCTAGAAAATTTTTGAAAAACTTTATAAGTGTGGTTTTGAACTCTATATCCAGTAGTTTGCTTTCCTCCATTTCTGTCATTTGTGACCTGTTTCTTTGTCTCCACATTTTGGCTGCTTCCCTGTGTTGATAGAGTGGCTTTGTGTGCTAGGTGTCCTATAGGGCCCAGTGGCTCAGCCTCCCGAATTACCTGAGGTGGACACTCTTGGTGCACCCCTTTGTGGGCTTTGTGCGTAGTCTTGTTGTAGTTAAGCCTTGATTGTTGTAGGTTTCACTGGGAGGAATTGACCTCCAGGCCAATTGACTATGAGAATCAGCTGTGACTACAGTGGGAGAACTTCTGTGCTGGAGACACCCTTCTGGGGCAAGACTTGCTTCAGTGGGGTTTTGGTGCTCACTGAGTCTTCCCCCTGAGTGTGTCCCTTATGGAT